CCATCTGTAAAAAATATATATGTATTTATTTATTTTTTTTCTTTTTGAGATGGGGTCTCACCCTGTCATCCAGACTGGAGTGCAGTGGCACAATCTTGGCTCATCACAACCTTCACTTCCCAGGCTCAAGCAATTCTCCTGCCTCAGCCTCCCTAGTAGCTGGGATTACAGACACCCGCCACTATGGCCTGGCTAATTTTTGTATTTTTAATAGAGACGGGATTTCACCATGTTGGTCAGGCTGGTCTCAAACTCCTGACCTCAGGTGATCCACCCACCTCAGCCTCCCGAAGTGCTGGGATAACAGGTGTGAACCACCACGCCCAGCCCAAAATAATTTTTTGTATGAGCCAAGCATAGTGGTGCATGGCTGTAGTCCCAGCTACTCAGGAGGCTGAGGTGGGAGGATCCCTTGAGCCCAGGAGGTCGAGGCTGCAGTGAGCTATGATCATACCACTGCACTCCAGCCTGGGTGACAGAGCAAGACCCTGCCTCAAAAAAAAAAAAAAAAAAAAAAAAAAATTGCTGGGCGCAGTGGCTCACACCTGTAATCCCAGCATTTTGGGAGGCCAAGGTGGGCGGATCACGAGGTCAGGAGATCGAGACCATCCTGGCCAACATGGGGAAACCCCGTCTCTACTAAAAATACAAAAAATCATCTGGGCATGGTGGCGTGTGTCTGTAATCCCAGCTACTCAGGAGGCTGAGGCAGGAGAATCACTTGAACCAGGGAGTTGGAGGTTGCATTGCAGTGAGCCGAGATTGCGCCACTGCACTCCAGCCTGGCGACAGAGCAAGACTCTGTCTCAAAAAAAAAAAAAAAAGAAGAAAACAAAAACGAACATTGATTGAGCATCAATTGAACTTGTGCCAGGCAGGCTCTGTGCAAAACCATTTCCTAGAAAAGTTTTCTTTTTTACAGAGGAGGAAACAGAAATCCACAGTGGCTAACTGATTTGTCCACAGAAGAGTAAGTGTAGTGACTGACCTCCAGGACCCAAACCTGCAACCCTTCTGTGCCGGTGGTGACTCGCCCTTAGCACACTACCTGGCAGCAGGCGATACCACCCATTCACTAAGGCATGGCAAGCAGCCCTCCTGAGTCACACCGTTCTGGGTGGTGCACAAAGCGGGAGTTCTCACCCTCATGGAATGCGTGCTCTGCCTCGAGAGACAGACACTTTCTCTCATATCCTGTGTCCAGTTGCAGGCAAAGCCACAATCATTGCTCACCTCCCAGTCACACTCAGGGTAAAGAGCAAGGGTCTTTGATTTACAAGTTCATGCCCGCCACCCGCCTCTCCTTCCACTCTCTCTGCCACTCTGACCGCAGAGCAGCTCCTCAGACACAGGCACATTCCTGCCTCAGGTGCCTTTGCATTTGCTCTTCCCTCTTCCTCTATATGCTTGCGTGGCTTGCCTGCTTGTCTTCAGGTCTTTTTTTTTTTTTTTTTTTGAGACGGAGTCTCGCTTTGTCGCCCAGGCTGGAGTGCAGTGGCCGAATCTCAGCTCACTGCAAGCTCCGCCTCCCGGTTTACGTCATTCTCCTGCGTCAGTCTCCCGAGTAGCTGGGACTACAGGCGCCCGCCACCTCGCCAGGCTAGTTGTTTGTATTTTTTAGTAGACACGGGGTTTCACCGTGTTAGCCAGGATGGTCTCGATCTCCTGACCTCATGATCCGCCCGTCTCGGCCTCCCAAAGTGCTGGGATTATAGTCGTGAGCCACCGCGCCTGGCCTTTTTTCTTTTTTTTTTTTTTTGATTCTCGCCCTGTCGCCCAGGCTGGAGTGCAATGGCACCATCTCGACTCACTGCAACCTCTGCTTCCCGGATTCAAACGATTCTCCTGCCTCAGCCTCCCAAGTAGCTGGGATAACAGGCGCCCACCACCATGCCCAGCTAATTTTTGTATTTTTTTAGTAGAGATGGGGTTTGACCATGTTGGCCAGGCTGGTCTGGAACTCCTAACCTCAGGTGATCCGCCTGCCTCAGACTCCCAAAGTGCTGGGAATACAGGCGTGAGCCACTGCACCTGACCGCCTTTTAAAAAAAATTAATTAATTTGTATTTATTTATTTTCAGGTCCTCCTTTAACAATTTTTTTTTTTTTTTTTTTTTGAGACGGAGTCTCGCGCTGTGTCACCGAGGCTGGAGTGCAGTGGCGCGATCTCGGCTCATTGCAAGCTCCGCCTCCCAGGTTCACGCCATTCTCCTGCCTCAGCCTCCGAGTAGCTGGGACTACAGGCGCCCGCCACCACGCCCGGCTAGTTTTTTGTATTTTTAGTAGAGACGGAGTTTCACCATGTTAGCCAGGATGGTCTCGATCTCCTGACCTCGTGATCCACCCGCCTCGGCCTCCCAAAGTGCTGGGATTACAGGCTTGAGCCACCGCGCCCGGCCAACAATTTTTTTTTTTTTAATAGAGATGGGGTTTCGCCATGTGGCCCAGGCTGGTCTCAAACTCCTGAGCTCAAGCCATCCAACCTCCTCAGCCTCCCAAAGTGCTGGGATTACAAGCATGTGCCACTGTGCCTGGCCACCCTCAGGTCTTGAAGTGTGCTGGAGACATAGTAGGTGCTCAATAAATACATGCCGAAGAAGTGAATGTGAAGAAAGGTAACTGCAGATGGTGGCAGGCATGGGCTATGCTGGACTTCAAGCTGGGGAAAGGGGATGGAGCATTGCCACTCTGAGTTGCTGGCAGCCGAGCCAGGCGCCTCTGAGGAATGGACATGTGAGCAGACACCTGAGTGTACAAGGGCATGAGCTGCATGCTCATTACCATGCCCAGGCCTCAGCCACCTGCTCCTAGATGCCCACTCCTTGTAGATGCAGGCAGCCCAGTTGCTGGGGGCAGGGCTGGGCTGGAGAGGGACGCCAAGGATATCTCACCTCACAGCGGTAGGAGCAGATGGCTCAGGCTCCAGTTTCTACCCTAACCTGACCTGAGCCCAGCCCAGGGGAGGGAAAACTGGGCCCAGCTGGCTGCTCATTCCTCTGAGATCTCCCAAGAGGGTGAGACAGAGGGGCCAAGCCAAGCATTGGAATCAAGCTACACTGCCTGCGTTTGAACTATATATATAGCATGAACAGACTAGAACTAGACTACGTGTGTGTGTGTGTCTCGGAGTCTTGCTCTGTTACCCAGGCTGGAGTGCAGTGATGCAGTCTCAGCTCACTGCAACCACCGCCTCCTGGGTTCAAGCAATTCTCAAGCCTCAGCCTCCCGAGTAGCTGGGATTACAGGCGTGCGCCACGATACTCAGTGATTTTTTATATTTTTCACCACATTGGCCAGGCTGCTCTTGAACTCCTGACCACAAGTGACCCTCCCGCCTCGGCCTCCCAAAGTGCTGGGATTACAGGTGTGAGCCACTGTGCCTGGCCTGTGTGTGTGTTTTGAGACAGGGTCTTGCTCCGTCAACCACGCTGGAGTGCAGTGGCTCGATCACAGCTTACTGCAGCTTGGACTTCCCGGGCTCAAGTGATTCTCCTGTCTCAGCCTCCTGAGTAGCTGGGACTACAGGTGAGTGCCACCATGCCTGTCTAAGTTTTAATTTCATGTAGAGATGGTCTCAGTATGTTACCCAGGCTGATCTCAAACTCTTCAGCTCAAGTGATCCTCCTGCCTTGCTTCCCTCCCAAAGTGCTGGGATTACAGGCATGAACTACTGCACCCAGCCCATGCTCTATGTTTACCCTTCGTCTTCTTACCTAATCCCTCAGTTTCCTCATCTGTGAAGTAGGGGTTGGAACAGTACCTACTGTCATAGACTGAATGTTTGTGTCTTCCCCAAACTCCTGTGCTGAAGCCAAGTGATGGTATTTGAAGGTAGGACCTCTGGGAGGTCACCAGGTGATGCGGGAGGAGCCTTCATGAATGGGATTTGTGCCCTTATAGAAAGGGACACAACGTGAGATGATCTCGCTCTCGGCCATGCGGGGAGGCAGGGTGGCTGTCAACGAGCCAGGAAGCGGCGCTCCTGACACCGGATCTACCAACACCCCCATCTCAGACTTCCAGCCTCCAGGACCGTGAGAACTGTGTTTCCTGTTAAAGCCACCCTCTCTGTATTTGTTACAGCAGCCCACACTCATAAAGACATTTATCTTCCTTTTTTTTTTTTTTTTTGAGATGGAGCCTGGCTCTACCACCCAGGCTGGAGTGCAATGGCACAATCGCGGCTCACTGTAACCTCCGCCTCCGGGCTGAAGTGATTCTCCTGCCTCAGCCTCCAAGTAGCTGGGATTACAGGCGCCCGCCACCACGCCTGGCTAAATTTTGTATTTTTAGTAGAGACGGGGCTTCACCATGTCGGCCAGGCTGGTCTCAAACTCCCCTTGGGTTATCCACCTGCCTCGGCCTCCCAAAGTGCTGGGCATGAGCCACCGTGCCTGGCTTGACACTTATCTTTTATATCTATATACTTTTTTCTTTTTCTTTTTTTTTTTTTTTTTTGAGACGGAGTCTCGCTCTGTCGCCCAGACTGGAGTGCAGTGGCGCGATCTCGGCTCACTGCAAGCTCCGCCTCCCGGGTTCACGCCATTCTCCTGCCTCAGCCTCCGGAGTAGCTGGGACTACAGGCGCCCGCCACCACGCCCGGCTAATTTCTTTTTGTATTTTTAGTAGAGACAGGGTTTCACCGTGTTAGCCAGGATGGTCTCGATCTCCTGACCTCGTGATCCGCCCGCCTCGGCCTCCCAAAGTGCTGGGATTACAGGCTTGAGCCACCGCGCCCGGCCACTTTTTTCTTTTTTGAGACGGAGTCTCACTGTGTCACCCAGGCTGGAGTGCAGTGGTGCAATCTTGGCTCACTGAAACCTCTGCCTCCCGGGTTCAGGTGATTCTTGTGCCTCAGCCTCCAGAGCAGCTGGGATTACAGGCGTGCACCACCGTGCCCAGCTAATTTTTTTATTTTTAGTACAGACAGGGTTTCACTATGTTGGTCAGGCTGGTCTCGAACTCCTGACCTCAGGTGATCTACCTGCCTCTGCCTCCCAAAGTGCTGGGATTACAGGTGTGAGCCACCATGACCGGCCTAAAACACCTACCTTTTATTTTTAAAAAATCCAACACATTATCAGTACTTCATGCCAGACACCATTCTAGGAAAGTAACTCTTCTTTCACATCAACCCCATGGGTAGCTGTCATTTACAGATGAGGAAACTGAGGCACGGAGGTGAAGCAACTTTCCTGAGGTCACCCTGCTACTAAGTGACACAGCTGGCATCTAGTGCAGCAGGCTGGCTCCAAGTCTACGCCCCTCACCCCTCAGATGCTGCTCACCAAGCCGGAGGGGCTGTGGGAGCGAGTTAGAACACAGGACGCCCCTGGCAGCAGCGCCCTGTGTGTGAAACTACGGCGGAGGAGGCCATATTGCGGCGGTATGCAGGAAGGCGGGGGCACCTCCCTCCAAGAACCAGCATCTGAGCTTTTTGGGGAAACATGTAGCTCCCTGAATGGCATCCACAGAGCCCCCCTCAGTCAGCCTCCCCTCAGGCACCAAGGCTGGCGGAGGCCACCACTGTCCATCTCCCTCACTCCTCACAGAGGAAATGCTGGGCGGTGCCGCGCAGTCAGGGCTGAGGACCGGGACAGAGGTTGGGTGGGGCGTGTCAGCATTCCTCCAACGGGCAGGTCTCAGCGCTCCTCCCACTGCTCCACTCCTCTGCAGGGCCCAGGTGCCCTTGGCCCTGGGACACACCTCTCGCCATGGAGTTCGACCTGGGAGCAGGTGAGCTCCTGGGGAGTGTGGATTGGAGGTGGAGGGGGCGAGAATCAAGCCCAGAAGCTGCCCGCACCAACCACCCAACTTCTCTCCACAGCTCTGGAGCCAGCCTCCCAGAAGCCAGGTGTGGGGGCGGGCCATGGGGGAGACCCCAAGCTCAGTCCCCACAAAGTTCAGGGCCGGTCGGAGGCGGGGGCAGGTCCGGGTCCAGAGGTAAGTCTCCTCATCACCGGCTGCGGACGGGCGGGAGGGGTGGGGTTGCCCCTGACCCCAGGGTCCTGCCTTGGGCTTCCAACTTCGGGGGCTGGGTAAGGGGCACCGCCTCACTGCCGCACCTCCATCCAGCAAGGACACCACAGCTCTTCCGACTCCAGCAGCAGCTCCAGCGACTCGGACATGGATGTGAAGGTAAGGGGTTCTCGCCAGCGTCCCCAGGCCCGTGCCCTGCACCGCAGAGAAGCGTCCCAGCGCAGGGGCTGGTGGGGAGGGTGCAGGAGGCGGTTCCTCTGTCTCCTTCCAGCCCAGAACCATCTCTTCTCTCCCATCCCTGCCCTCGGTCCCACAGCCCCACACCGCTGGCTCCAAGCAGCACGAGAGCACCCCCGGCAAGGCCAAGAAGCCCAAAGTGAAGAAGAAGAAAAAGGAAAAGGGCAAGAAGGAGGCTCCTCACTGAAGGGCCCTGGACAGGGCTCATTAAACCTTCCTCTCTGCCTTCTGCGACTGATCAGCGCAGTGCCTGCTCCGGTCCGTCCCCAGTTCCCTGCCCCCTGCCCAGGGCTGGGCCCGCCCATCCCTGCACGCGGCCAAGGAGAGGCTGCCCACGCCATGCCCATCAGGGTTTATTGTTTCTGTAACAGCGGCCACGCCCTGGGGCGATGGCCTGTGCAGCTGGAGATCTCTCAGCACCTTGGGTTGGGGGCGGGGCTGGGCGGGACATGGGATGGAGGCGTCGCCTGTGGCCAGACAGGGTGGACCCCTGGGGCCTGCAGGCAGGAGATGAGTCCAGTGGCTCCCAGCAGCAGCAGCAGCGGCGGCGGCGGCGGGAGGCTCCGCTCACCGCACCAGGTGGAAGGTGAGCCAGTACATGAGCAGAGGTTGTGCCGCTGCCACTGCCATGGTCAGGTACATGCGCAGCTGGTTCCGGGCCCCACGCACCGGGACCCCCTCAGCCGCTGCCTCTGCCAAGATCTTCAGCCGCAGCGTCCGGATCTGGGTGGGAAAGGGAGAGAGGAACCAAGGGGTTTACCCTTGAGCTCTCTGGGCCAGAGTGAGAGCCCCGACATACTTCCAGCCTCTGTCTAGAAGCCCCAGGCAGCCGGGGACAAGTCCCTGGCCCTCTGCAGCCTCAGGTTTCTGGGGGCCTCAGTTTCCCCAAACCTCCTAACATGGTGAGGATTTGGACCCTGTGGGCAAAATATGAGAAGGTTCGACACTCAAATGCCAGGCAAGGTCTGGGAGCGGGTGAAGGGGGACTTCGCGGTGGACACCCGGCCTGAGGGGGTGGGAGAGGTGGCCCTGGCTGCTGCTCCCCGTTATGCTGGTCACATGGCAGTTTCTGAAGACATGCCAGAAGTGCTATCTTTATTTTTATTAAAGGACAGGGTCTCTGGCCTAGTGCGTTGGCTCACGCCTATAATCCCAGCACTTTGGGAGGCCGAGGCGGGCGGATCACAAGGTCAGGAGATCGAGACCACGGTGAAACCCCGTCTCTACTAAAAATACAAAAAATTAGCCGGGCACGGTGGCGGGCGCCTGTAGTCCCAGCTACTTAGGAGGCTGAGGCAGGAGAATGGCATGAACCCGGGAGGCGGAGCTTGCAGTGAGCCGAGATCGCGCCACTGCACTCCAGCCTGGGCGACAGAGCCAGACTCCTTCTCAAAAAAAAAAAAAAAAAAAAAAAAAATTAGCTGGGTATGGTGGTGCTCCCTGCTTCTCAGGAGGCTGAGGCAGGAGAATCGCTCCTGTGAACCCAGGAGGCTGCAGTGAGCCAAGATTGCGCCACTGCACTCCAGCCTGGTGACAGAGCGAGACTCCGTCTCAAAAAAAAAAAAAAAAGGACAGGGTCTCACCCTGTCCACCAGGTTTGACTGCAGTAGCATGATCTCAGCTCACTGCAGCCTCAATCTTCCAGACTCAAGTGATCCTCCCACCTCAGCGTCTCGAGTAGCTGGGACTATAGGTACACACTGCCATGCCTGGCTAATTATTTAATTTTTTTAGAGATGGGGTCTTGCTATGTTGTCCAGGCTGGTATCAAGCTCCTGGCCTCCAGTGATCCTCCTGCCTCAGCCTCCCAAAGTGCTGGGATCACAGATGTGAGTTATGCGCTTGGCCTAAACTTTTAAATGACGAGACCTAAGTCAAAGTTTGCGTGAGGCTCTGCCCTGGCTCACCAGCCACCACGGTCTGCCCTCTGCTTCTCACATGTTCACAGTGAATCCTCCCAGCACCTTAAGGTGCAAGTATCATCCTCCTATTTTAAAATAGGGAAACTGAGTTTTGGTTTTTTTTTTTTTTTTTTTTTTTTGAGACGGAGTCTCGCTCTGTCACCCAGGCTGCAGTGCAGTGGCCGGATCTCAGCTCACTGCAAGCTCCGCCTCCCGGGTTCACGCCATTCTCCTGCCTCAGCCTCCCGAGTAGCTGGGACTACAGGCGCCCGCCACCTCGCCCGGCTAGTTTTTTGTATTTTTTAGTAGAGACGGGGTTTCACCGTGTTAGCCAGGATGGTCTCGATCTCCTGACGTCGTGATCCACCCATCTCGGCCTCCCAAAGTGCTGGGATTACAGGCTTGAGCCACCGCGCCCGGCCTGGTTTGTTTTTTTTTTGAGACAGAGTCTTGCTCTGTCGCCCAGGCTGGAGTGCAGGGGTGCAATCTCAGCTCACCGCAACCTCCACTTCCCGGGTTCAAGTGATTCTCCTGCCTCAGCTTCCCGAGTAGCTGGGGCTACAGGCACACACCACCAAGCCCAGCTAATTTTTTTGTATTTTTAGTAGAGATGGGGTTTCACCGTGTTAGCCAGGATGGTCTCATCTCCTGACCTCGTGATCCTTCTGCTTCGGCCTCCCAAAGTGCTGGGATTACGGGCGTGAGCCACCGCGCCCGGCAAAAGGGGAAACTGAGTTTAAAGAAAGGAAGTGATTTGCCCAGGATCCAACTAAACTTGGGGTCCACCCAGCCTGCAGACCCCAGTGCTCTTCACCAGCACCCCTGACTCTAGCAGGAAGGGCTCTAGAGAATCTCCTTCCAGGGAAATTCTGGCAGGAAAGCCCCCATGCAAGGAGAGTGGAATGAGGGTGAGAGCCCAGCCTGGAGCCTGTGTGCTGGGGATCCCCAGCCTCTAGCAGCCTGGGTGGGATCTCCTCTTCCAGGGCTCAGGATACCCCCTCTTCCAGGAAGCCCTCCTGACCCCCCCAGGCTGGGCAGCCACTCCAGGGCTCTTCAGTTCAGCAATGTGTCTCTGGTCTGAACCCCACACCTGACATCCTCTTCTTGGATGCCTCCGGGGCACCTGTGCCCTCACCCTCACCAGCCCCAAGCCCCTGCTCACCATGAACACAAAGATGGCCACACAGCACCAGCCCAGCACCAGGTAGTAGCCAATCTTCCCGAAGAGCAGGCCCATGAGGACCCCGCCAATCATCCTGGGGGAGGGAGAGGAGGCTGTGTGAGGACAAGGCCCAAGGGCTGGGGCTGGCATGAAGGGCGGGCGTACTCACCCGACGTACTTGTAGCCCAAGAAGGCCACCAGGTCGATGGTGGTGAGGTCGGTGTTGACAGTGACCAGATAGAGGCTGAGCAGGATGGCCACCACCTCCAGGGTCAGCCAGGCCAGGGCTGAGCTCGCCTGCAGCCCTAGGAGGTCTGGGGAGAACCTGCAGGCAGCAAGTCCCGCCACTTGGTTGGCTGGTTCAGACCTCCCACCCCCAGCACCTGCCTGGGGACAGCCCCGTGTTGGGTAGGGCTGGACACCCGGCAGTGACCAAGATGGATCTGCACGCTATCCTATTCTCATGGAAATCCCATCCAGGGAGGATGGCAGACCCATCCCTAGACAGTGACACCCAGAGCGGGCAGGGCTGGAGTCACAGGGGGCTGTGCCTGACAGTCAGGAGGCAGGTGTCAGAGAGGGCTTCCCAGGAGAGGGGACAGCAAGCTGAGGCCTGCAGGAAGGAGCTGGTCAGGGACAAAGCCTTCGGCCTCTGCCATATCCCCAGGGCCTCACCAGTTAGTTAATGACAGATGTGTTCAGTGTCACAAAGGAAAAGAACAGGGCAGTGTGAGCAAGAGGAGGGGCCTGACCTAGCCTGGGGGACAGGAAGGCTTCCTGGAGGAGGTGACACTGGAATGGAGCCAGCGGGAATGCACAGGTACTCAGCAGTAGTGGAGGGGAACACGCTCCCGGGCAGAGGGAAGTTGATGTGACAAGGCCCCAGGAGACAGCGCCAGCCCTCCTGAGGAAAGGAACGGACAGAAGTGTGCAACGGGAGGGGCAGTGCGGGGCTGAGGAGCTGAGGCTTGATCGGGAGCCATGGATAGTAGGGTGGAGCAGGGTGGGCTGTGGCCAGGCTCACACCTCAGACAGGATGGTCCTGGCTGCTGCTGGAGTAGGGGTGCAATGGGGAGCTGGTGACGACAGAGCGAGGATGAGGATGGGTCTGGTAGCAGAGGCCAAGAGGAAGGGTGGATGGAGAGGGTCGCCCAGCACAGGGTGTGGTGACACAATGCACATGGGTAGGAAGGAGAGGGAAGAGGCGAGGGTGATGCTGATGGTGACCCTGAGGGCCGTATCTTGGGCCAACTGGGAGCAAAGTGGGGCTGTCCTGAGAGGGGAACTGAGACCTTGGAACTGAAACCTTCCTGACCAACCATGGGCCTCCCAAACCCCACCCTACTCGGCCTGCCCCAGGCCGCCCTTACCTATCCTGGGTCCCCAGCGCAAGACCAGCCACCAAAACGTACGTGATGAAAGCCATCGCTGTGGGAGGCAGACACACAGACACTGGTCACCAGAAGAAGAACTGCCCTGGGCCTCCAGACACCCACACACCCACCCCAGACAGGCCCGGAAGAGAGAGGAGGGTGCAGGGTAGAGGGAGGGTGAAACCTGGAATGTAGAGGTCCGGGGCATTGACGTCAAAGCGGGGGGCAACCGGGGTGTCCTGTTGGTACTGCACCTCCCAGTCCTGTGGGGATGGGGAGATGGGCAGGACCCTCAGAACCAGGTCCCTCCTACCCTGCTACAGGCCCTCCTCCCTCGAGGTGAATCTCCTGGCCCCACCACACACCTGCCCCCACCCCTGAGCCCCCACAGGCCCACCGCAGACCCACATTCCCCTGGGGGTGCTGACCTGGTGCAGGTAGGGGAAGAACAACAGGCCCAGCTTTCTGCCCACATACATGGTGTCCACAGCAAAGTAATACTTGAGCTTGGTGACGGGGATGAAGCGGTCAATCTGGGGAGGCAGAGCTCAAGCCTGAGTGCCCGTGGCCCCGTGCGTCCCCCAACTCCCGCCAGCCCTGGCCACTTACGTTCTTATCCACCAGCTCCTTGCCCTGCGCAGCCAGGCTGCTCCCATAGGCCATGGCCATGTTGGACACCGGGTCAGCCAGGAAGGCTGCCTGGGGCGTGGCAGAGGCTGCAGGATAGCCTAGGCCGCCAGGTGCCCGCTGGGCCCCATAGCCCCGGCTCTGGGTTGAACTTGTATCATCGAAAAGCTGGTGG